TCCATTGTGGTAGTCAAGCTCTCTTCACCCCGCGAGGAAAGAAGACGTCCTCTTTATTTTTGTTGTCTCGCTTAGCGGTGAATAGAACAGTGTAGTCATCGGTCTACGTGTGTGCGTGTTGAGTGTGTGGTCCAAGTTATGAGTGTCAGACGCTCTCCACCCGCTACGTTTGGCTCAATGCCAGACTTGCCGAATGCTGGGAGTGGAAAACCTGAACAACAGATAACACTACGCAAACGAAAACAGCCCGATAGAAGCTGCTGCTGTAATCAAGAATTACAAGACTTTCGACGGGACATCACAACCTTACTTGACAACTTTAATAGTGCTCAAGAAACCACTTTAAAGTTTATGCGCGATAATCTAATGGAAATAAAGACCCAGTTGAATGACATTAAAGGCTCCGTAAGTACGTTAACAGAGGAGCAGAATTGTATAAAGACTCAAATATGCAATCTCGCAGTTAAAAGCGATCATACTGAAAAACAGATGCAAGCACTCGAGTTAGATGTCAACAATATTAAACGAACCTTAAATAATAACAAATCTTCAGCATATTATTGTCTTTCGGGCTGTTCGGCCGATGTGAGCGAGAAGAGGTTCTCGACGTTTCGCCATCACGTGTGGACGGCATCTTCAGGAGATGTTGACTCCTCGATTGCTCGAAGAATTGTGAGTTGTCCGCCGCGGTCTCAGATTATATAAACCCTGACAAGCGGGGAATGTAGTGGTGTGTAGTGGGGTAGTGAGCGTGACGTCATTAGTCATAGATGATTCACCGGCCCGCCCCGATCTTAGGTTATATGTATAAAGACCCGGTCGTATATCGGCGGTTTGTTGTGTGTTATTCTGTGAAGTAAATGAATTAGTGTGTGATTCAATGTTCTGAAATTCATTTTCTTTGAAAGGTAGCCTTTTGGCATTTCGCAGAATTGGAACCCATGTTTTGTTAATTTTGAGAGATTCCTCGGATCTATTAAAATTCCGTTTATGTTTATGAATCTCTATCGCTTCTCTGTACAGTCTGGGGTAAAAAGTGCCATTGGAACATAATAATTGAGTATTTTCGAAAAGTATTCTATGATTGTCGTTGTTTAAAGTATGATCCGCAACCGCAGATTTGTCTGTATGTCCCAAACGACAATTAGCTTTGTGTTCTTTAATTCTCGTATTCACCGAACGCTTAGTGGTACCAATATATACTTCCCCACAAGTGCACGGGATACGGTATACTCCTGAGGATGATAATGGGTCCCTTTTGTCCTTTGCAGATGGACAACTCACAATTCTTCGAGCAATCGAGGAGTCAACATCTCCTGAAGATGCCGTCCACACGTGATGGCGAAACGTCGAGAACCTCTTCTCGCTCACATCGGCCGAACAGCCCGAAAGACAATAATATGCTGATCGATGGCCGTGAAAGCCTTACTCAATTTAATAACAAATCTTGTTCAATAGACTCTTCGGAAGTAATATTGCGTGAATTACATGATCGTACAACAAGGTTGAAGAACTTAATCATAGTAGGTATACCGGAGAAAAAAGACATGGCTCTAGATGAAGTTCTAGCGTCTGATATGAAAGAAGTGCAGCACACTTTACATAAGATAAAAAAAAAAAAAAAAAAAAAAAAATTTTTCAATTTATTTTCGATTTTTAAATTATATAGTGCCTTCATGTGCAATAACATGTGAAAAATATTAATGTTTTCAAACGTTATAACTTTGTAATTTCATCTTCAATGATTTCTTAAGCTGCAAAGCATAAGACATTGAGCCTTAATACGCAAGTGTTAAGGTAGAAATTACATTGCGCGAGAGGTGCATGTATCAATAAGTTGAAAAAATTCGACGATGAGGTGTAGGACTCGGTAGCTCAATTGGTAGAGCAACAGCACGGAAAGCTGACGATGCCGGTTCAAGACCTGCCCGAGTCGAAAAATTTTTTCAATTTATTTTCGATTTTTAAATTATATAGTGCCTTCATGTGCAATAACATGTGAAAAATATTAATGTTTTCAAACGTTATAACTTTGTAATTTCATCTTCAATGATTTCTTAAGCTGCAAAGCATAAGACATTGAGCCTTAATACGCAAGTGTTAAGGTAGAAATTACATTGCGCGAGAGGTGCATGTATCAATAAGTTGAAAAAATTCGACGATGAGGTGTAGGACTCGGTAGCTCAATTGGTAGAGCAACAGCACGGAAAGCTGACGATGCCGGTTCAAGACCTGCCCGA